ACGCTGAAGAATGTCGGAAGCTTGCTCGAGCGTTCACGTCACATGACCACACGTGCCAAAAACATCGCCACGACGTGGCAAACACGCCTATGAATTTCGCTTCTATAACTCACTGGTGTGGGTATGGATTCCTTCTACTTCTCCGGGACTCTCTCACAAGCTTTCGTCCAGGTACCATGGTCCTTATCGAGTTGTACGCCAAACATCCCCTGTCAACTACCTTGTCGAGCCGCTGGACGCACCTCCGGACAAACGCCGTCGGGGACAACAAGTCGTACACGTCTCTCGGCTCAAGCCATACCATGACCCTTCCGCGTACACCTATCTTTAGGTCGCCAGGATTGCTCCCTCGTTGCCCGAGGGTGATTGTAACGAGGGCAGCGGCCATGGAGCTCGAGTATAGAAAGAAAAAGACATGCTGTGATCGCAGACTTGCATTCAGTTAGCCCTTTAGCCCTTGCGCTAAATTAATCTCTCGTTCACCGTGTCAACTCTTGCTTGTTCAACACCCCATGTATTATATATATATATATATATATATATATATATATATATATATATATATATATATATATATATAAACTAGTAATCGACCACCAGGAGCACATGACTGCTTGCTGTGGTGATGTCAGGTCAGTATCAGCAGGTCAGTGAGTGCATCCAGGGCTTACTAACCAGAAACTTAGCTTGATTAATGACAAACAATGTGCGTTCAATTATTGGACGACCTGCTGTCAAGTACACGTTCACTCAAACAGCTCTCAACATAAAATTGAATAGACCTAACATTGCACGATTAAGTATGCGAGAAGAGACACACAGTTAAGGACACATATGGCATTAATTTCAAGTAAATAAGCTGTATATATAAAAACCATGTCAGCTAAAACCATGGGCCGTTTTGCTAGCTCCAAATATACCACATTTGGTATTGCGTGACGTGAACACAATGAAGAAAAATGATACGTCAAAACATGATAATCATGACATGCATGTCGAGTAAAATATGACTACATGCTACTCTCATTGCGCGCTCATGACCATTTGGCAATAGATTCACATACACTAAATTCAGCATTGCGTGACGTGGATGAACGACGCACACAAATGCCAGGTGCAAACAACATAATCATGACATCAAAGCCATGTACAGCGTAATTTACGCCCACCTTATGACGTTGTGCTGATTTAAAAGTGACATATTAACCTTCCTGATTTGTGCTTCGCATATCATCGATTGCCACTATACGTCACGTGGCATCTGCCCATTTTTTACACCTACCGATTCAAGCCACCCTATCTGTGGTGCTCACAGCTTATCTCCTGAGGAGTTTCTTTAGATGTTATACTACTTGGTTATGGGGAATATAACTATATCAGATACCTTCCAACTTTCACGAACTGTCTGGCAGACTGCCAAATTTTGACCTTATCTCCCGATTGTACGAATGCTATATCTCGAATCTCCTGACAAGTGGCCACCACAGCAGAGAGACATTTTTGTTTAAGTCACTCGTGTAAGTGTCAGCCTTCCTGCTGCGAGAATTGCAGCGGCTGCGCAAGAGCGCTCGCCACTACAATTCTAGTTCATTGTAATGATACAGAGTACCGCGCGTCTGGGTGAAGGCTGGCGGCCGTGGGACTCGCTTGCCACGGTATCGAAAAATAGGCAGTGTAAAAGGTACCACAACTTTAGCACCTCTCTACCATGACCCCCGCATTTTATACGCTAGGCCTACACCACCTCCTAGGCATTAGTTGTGTTTGTTAAAGTGGTTGTGTGTGTTTCGTGTGTCCCAGAGTTCATTTGGAAGGCCGATGGTGGTCACTGGTGTCAAAAGGAAGGAAGTGCTAGCCTGCAAGTGTTTGTCAACTCGTTTTGGCAATTTGCACAATGGCCTAAATAACAACGTCTCTTATAAGGACACTAGATTGGGCGAGTCGGTAGCTATTCATTGTTACGTTAATGCGCACTGCTTAAAAGACAAAAACTTGGGTTGAAAAACGAGATGGACACAAGCGCTCGTGTCCATGTAGTCGTTCATTCCAAGTGTTCTTTAAAGAAGTGCTCAATAACGTGACTACGTCACATAACTATGAATATGGCCAATGAATGTGGCATTGTCTCTGTAGGCGTTTGAGAAAATTACGACAATATCACACGCTGTAAAGACGGAAAACAAAGTACTTGCACTGCCTATAGTCTTAAATTGACAAGCTTCATTCTGTGTGTACTCTTCCATACCTTTGGGATTGGATCATGCACAAATAATGTTGTCACAAAAGGCATGTTCTTGTAAACGAAATGCACATGTTCAACTTTTTGGCTTATGTACTTTCACAGGAAAGGATACAGACGCTTTTTTTCTGTGTGTGTGAAATCTCTACTGAATGCTCTGCATGTATCAAAGCTCTCACTTTCCAAATAAGCAAGACTTGGAGTAATTGGATATATATATTTCAAGTGGACCATAATATTGAGCTCAAAATTTAGGATCTGGTACTGTTGTCATCACACAGCCACAAAATTTCGTTATGCAAAGTTAAATGAGACTATATGTTGCTGAGCACATTTTACTTGACAATTCTCGCTTGTGGCAGCTGCACCTGTTGCAGAGACAAAGTGAGCCATTCTTATGACACAATGAAGATCTTCTGGATACTGCAATTAAAACTGGCTTATGGAAAAATTGTAAATAACTGACTATTTACTTTGCTTTTATAGTTGCCCCTCTCTTCTAAGACTCAAAAGGTTTGGATCATCTCCTAATGCAAGAAAAAAAAGAGGCAAAGCTTGCCCTAAGATGAGCAAGTCTTGCATGAAACTGCATAATTTTTAAGCCCAATTTAATTGCTTCTAGGCTGTTGCGAGGCTTTAGCTAGCAGATGCAAGGTTCTTTTCAACTTGAGCTTAGGGAGCTTTCAGTTTGACCTCGGACCTTCACAGAGACAAGGAGGTCCGAATTCCAGGGACAAGTCCTTGCTGAAACAGAGCGTTGGCACCTCTTATAGATCTAGTGGCACATAGTCTTTTCTTAGCCGCCATTGTTTTTCTTAATCCCTAGTATTCTCTCATTGTATGCACTCACGTGAGGGGGGGGGGGGTGCTTCGGCCTGTCGTCACAGCAATTCTAGGGATAACTGTTGTGAAACCAAGCGTTTTCATTTTTCATAAATTTACGGGCACATTGTATAGGGCTCCGTTCACTTCGGGCTTCGTCACAGTCACCGTTGTCTGTACAATTTTCTTGTAGATAAGGAGACCCTGTAGGAGGCACCCATATGATGACACAGACTGAACTGGCTGTTCTCCGTGCTCTCCCATTGTCCCTATCATGTAAAAAGAAGCCAGTAAAAACTAAAGCCCTTGTGGGAAGATAAGGAAGCCCTGCAAGAGACTCCCGAAGCGTTTTAATGGGAATCTGATGCCCACTAATTAATCTGCCAATTAATTATTAGGCAGGAGGGGGCAGGAGTTCTTGTGCAGAGCCTCCTTATCTTTCCTCAAGATATTCTCCTTTGACGTTTGCAGCAACAACTTTAGCAAATTTCGCTCAGCCATAGATTTCCCGACCACCTGCAGAAGCCTTTTGATGATGTTTTCAGTCTTCCATCGTGTTACGAAGACGTGCGCTCTTTATAGGCGTCATCGTCATCGTCTTCGAGCAACTCATTGGCCCATTGTCTCGAATCTGCCTAACGTCTATGTCGCGGTCGTGACGCCCCAGTGTAAACGCACCTTCACCAACCTGGCCAAATACATACCTTACAGCGGTTCATAGTGATTATTCAAGGGTCTAAGAGCAAATACAACTTGTTTCTCTAATGTGGTCCATAATGTGCAAATAGTTGCTACAATGTGCTCTCAGGTACAAAATTATCTGCTCCAAAGTAAAAAAACTGGCTGCTCCATCGATTGCTCTACTTCAGAATGCCTGAGTAGCATCACTGGAAAAAATTAAATACTTGTACAACGCCTGCATGCACAGCATGGAATTTATAGGTGTAGTATGCTCAGAAACAAGTCATCTTTTACTTGGCAAAACTAGCCATATGCTACGCTGTTGCATGGGTAAACTAGCCATAAGCTACGCGGTTGCATAGAAATCAGCCACATTTCAATAACAGAAGGTGTTACCTCTGTGCTTAATTTAGAAAGGAGTGCAATCAACTGTTCAACTGCCCACTAATATCCCTTTCTTGCACAGGTCCTTTCGTTGTCTTCTTTCTTTTGATTATTGAGAACTGTTTTAATTAACACTGTGTCTAACAGAAGATTATGTGCCCTTTACTTGACACTTTTTTTCTTCGTTGTTTTGGTTGTCGGAGAAAATGCTGATCAACAACCCTGCCAGGAGAATCGCTGCACGGGATGCCCTCAAGCATGAGTATTTAGATGAAACCCTTGTCTGACCTTTCTTTTCCACAATACAAGCTCTGTACTGAATATAGTTGAAGTGTTGGGCCAAACTCTATGTATTTTTTCTATTGCATTTTTGTGGGGTTTTTGGCCACCTTGGGGTAATGTATTAAAGGCGGGACCAAGAGTCAGCTGCGTTGTTTAATGGTGTTACAGCAGTGTATTATTGTGTCTCATTTTACATATTTTGTAGAACTGAGTCTATGTAAATTTTATACGATATTGTGCCTATTTTGACTTTTTCGGTACAGCCCCCTTTATACAGTTTATAAAACCAACTTGTACGATTCTGACATTTATATGTGCAGCACGTTACCCTCTTTTTGCGTGTGTGCTGTCCTAAAGCTACAGCTGTGTATAGTTGGGGTAAAAAAATGAACAGGGTAATTTGGTAATGTCTACACAGATGTGCTGTGACCTTTATTTGATAGAAGTGATGAGAGATTCCATTGGCTTAACTTCCCAATGAAAGCTTGCTGCATTCCACCAACATCTGCACAATTTTTTTTCTTTCTCGTGTGTTTTGTAAATTAATCACCATATGTCTAATGCTCAGAAGTTACTTTCATAAACAGAAACAAATCTTCAAAAACTTTATTCTTAGATGTTGCATTTGTCAAGGTTCACGGAGAGCCATTTTATTTTATGCCTCCTTTTGTTGTTCACATCATGTGACTGTATGCCCTTGCTGCATGCTTGACTAGTTTGTAATTATAAATTGTGTCTTTTTTTATGAAAGTTTTATGTTTTTAATGACATCTGTGCTCTCTTCCTCTTTTTACATGTTTCAGGTTAATTATGCTGCTTTTATTCATGCTTACTATGCTTTGTCCAGTGTACTTGAGCTCACTTTAAAACACCAGCTTTATGTCTAGCAAAGTTGTGTAGGCGGTTCACCATGTGTCGAAGAAGAAAAACTCTAAAGTGCTGCAATTTATTTAATTTATTGACATTTTCAATCATGCCTCAAGGGCACACATTTTAGAAATATGAGAATATAAACACCTGGAAATTTCTTTTTTACAACTGAAAGTGTGAGTAGCCTTCATGTTGCACCTAGGGGTGGTAAATTTTAAATATATACATACCCCTGTTAAACAAAAACGACAGTAAACCCCTAATATCATGAAGTCTTGAATACAGCAAATACGTTTTTGTTTGATCTGTTCTTTAAAAATGTAGTGCTGCTCCTGAACACATTGTGGTAATGTGGCTAGAGCTGGCTACACTAACAATGAAGTATGTGTACGATTGTTTGTGGCAAATTGTCACTGAAACTCCTATTGCTGACGAAAAGCTATGAATGTAACCATCTGTGAGACTTGAAAGATGTGACATGACAAAACTAGAAGGAAGCAGCATAAGCAACACAGTTTTTTCTGTAAATTGTAAGCCTTCAAGTTCAACTTTGATTAAACAGCCTCTTTACAATAGCTGTTCCAAATGTAAGGTTCCACTGTTGTTATTTGAAGGAACAATATTTTAGTAAGGCAATTTTGCTTCGTAGTCATGTATTCTTGCTTTATTATAAGGTATTCAGTGTGTGGCTTGTATAGTCACACTGACGCCAAGGAAAGAAACAATGCTTCAAAAAATAGCAATTTTTGTGCTTTTAGACCCGCATTTTTATGCTCTAAGCCAGTCTGCATAATGTTGTCTCATGGCATTAAGGTATTTGATCTAAAACCTGCATTGTTTTGATCGTATAACGACGACAACACAGTGCCTCAAAGAATGCTTCATTGCACTAGGGGTTTACTGTATCGTTATAGATATGTGTATCTGTATAACTTAAGTGAAATGCATGAAGCATTTCTGTGGCCGCTTTTAAAAGTGGGAAGTTTCTATCAATAGCTTGAAACAGAGTAGCATATGCGAACCTTATGCCTTTGTTGCATTTTGTTTACTGTTAATGCCAATTACCCTTTTGGAATACTTTTTTCATGCTTTCACTGCATGTTAAAGCTCATAAAGTGGCAGTATTTTTCGCTATTTTTTAGTCTCTTTCAAATGCTTTTGCCAATTATACTGTATACCATCTTTCTTCTGAAACCATGTTCATACATGTACAAACCTGCACATGAGTGTTCTTTTCATTTCTTTGTGTTTGTTGCTTGGATATGTTTGAGAGCTTTTAAGCAAATGCTGCTACTTTTGTTCATTGTTATCAACAGCTAGATGTCCTTTTCTGTGAAATATTTTTTTCCTGAAACCTTCAGCTTAAAAGTATCGGCATATTGAAGCTTTGGGTGAGATGTGGCAATCACATGGGCTGCATCTGCTTCAGGGGGTGTGGTAGTGAGAGCAGCCTGTGCTTTTGGCTTCCGTCCATGTAAGCTTCAGATTCCAGTAGCATTTCCTGTAGGGAAACAAACGAATAGGCTATTGCAAAATGTTTTCACATGTAAGAGCACCAGAATAGGATTTTGTGAATAACAGGTGAGCACTGTGGATGGCACTTTCTTTTAATTTTGGCGTTGAATTTTGTTCCTTTAGAAGGAGCTTCTAGTCGTTTGTCTCATGGCCAATTCCTTTACACAAGTACATAATTTTTCTGTGTATGCAATAACAATAAATATGAAAGTTGAAATTAGTTCAAAACATTGAAGATTCGTAACAGGTGTCCACGTATATGAACGCAGGTAACACCAGTTAGACCTCGTACGTCATTCTTTTTTTGTACCTGGAAACCTTGCCTTCCGACAAGTCTTTTAGCACATTATTTATTATTATCACTACTGATCATTATTATCATCATCATAAAGACTAGCGTGGCCGCTTGCAAATACCATTGATTCAACACTTTCACCATCATCATTAATTATTGCTATCATTAAGACCTTGATCCTCAAGTTCTATGCTTCTATCATCGCCACCATTCAAAGTTCTTCTTTAACGTGTTTTTGTCATCTTTATAGTCGCTTATCATCATACCAATGCATTCATAGGTACATTCAAACTGAATGCTTTTATAATCGGCAGTGGCGTTCTTCAGGAGGCCTTTAGTGCTCATAGCTCTCTTGATAATTATTCGTGCTCCCCAAAATGAGACATTTGCTTTCAGTTGTCGGCTCTAAATTGTAGCATGCATGTCTTCATCACTTAAAAGGACATTGGCACAAATTCCTTTGGCCTCTTGTTTTATTGCAGCAATATGTTATGCTAATTGCCCGTCTGTCATAACACGCCACATCGTTTGCTGTAGCACTCAATGGATTAGTTGATTATGGGCTCTTTATTACCGACTTTCCAGTTTCACCTTGAGAGTGCTCCAAAAACGACAGGTGAAACTGTCACCACCTGTGGAGTTAGCTCTCCCTCCACTCATCACACAGAGCTGTGACGCACTTCTGTACGGTGCGCGTTGTTACGCCTGCGAGTCCACACCGAACATCAATGCTCTGCAAAGGCAATCTATGAAGGCCAGCCATCGAGCCCGCCTGATGCAATCAACTCAACGACGTCATGAAGCGGTGGCGCCGGTCTGTCACGCAACGCACCGCGAGCTCCCTCAGCCCACGAGCCCGTTGAAGCAATCGGCGCCTTCCAGTCTGGCGAGTCTTACACAATGAGTGGCAACATCCCTCGTCCTTGGTGCAACCATGCGCAGCGGAGGGCTCCATTGGAGGATTCCGACATCACGGCCAGTGGCGCTTCTGTTTGGACATTTGGTTACTCAAAGGATCCACCCGGATAAAAAGGCCCTGCGGCGCGTCGCCAACAGTAGACATATGTGTTAGAGAAGACATCTCGGCTCTTCGAGTCCCTAAGCTGTCGGCCCCAGTGCTTAGGTTGTAACGCCTCTATTTCTATGCTGTGCATAAACCTTGCCTTAACTCACCATCGTCTCGTCCACTCGTCTATCAGCTCTGCGCAGAAGCAGTCGCAAGCTGAGTAACACACGCTACCAAACGGCGGGTGAACATGTCGGCGGAGTTTGCAAGGGCGCCTTCGGAACCGTGTTGGCCTCTCGCATTCATAACATTGTCAAGAAGTCCTTTATAAGAGGAAATGAGACAGGAATGTTGCCAAAAACAACTTTCGACGCATCTACTGCAGCCATACACTCTCGAGCAGCCGCCGAAAAGTACATGAAAAAACTCGGCAAAAAAGAAATGGCGGCCATGACATAATTATAACTTGTTTTATTGACTCTAGCATGGTGATATGACAAAATTAAGGGCGTCACAATGGGGCCACTTGGTGTCAATTTCTTCAAAAGTTTTGAAAATTTCATTCAAAATACCTTCCATTCTATTCACTGTTTATATGATTTATAGAAGATATAGGCAGGTTAGCGGGAAACTATTCCGCAAGCTATCTCGATTGTGAAATTTCGTGTCAGTAGCTTTTTAATCCAGGCCCACAATAGGCCGAAGAAATTCAAAACAAAACTTTGAGAAGCTGTATTTAGCTACAAAGCAGCACATCAAGAATGCCAATGCTACAACAAACATTCCGCATTTTACCAGCTCTTACATGAAGTTTGTATGTCTGGCGCCCACAAACGTGACAACTCAACTTACAAAACTTACTTTTAGGTCATGTTTTAAACGACGCACAATTACCGAATTTCGCATGTGTTTGTTACAAAGGGTCTGATAAAAATTGTGCTGCGAAAAACCCGACTGGTAAATTTTGTACTCTACTGCGATGGCCTAGATGAGGGGTCATTCATAAGGTAACATAACTCGCACAAAAACTATGTAACTCATTTCTTTTTTAGATAAATTGAATATTACAGACATGAATTTAAGTGAGCTTATAGACCTCTAAAGGTGGCTTGAAATGAACACAATTGTTCTGTGCACACCTACCACAATTTATTCACAGATGTGGACACAAACGGACGTTTTTAAGACAAGCTGAAATAATACCAATATTTTAAATCTAATTTTAAAGCAATGTGTTGACTTACCTGATCCCATTACACTTATGTTTTTTTTTCAATATCAGTGGATGCTGCGGTACGAAGGGTTATTATTAGCATTCGTTTAAGAAGTAACTGATGTCAGCAGAAGGTTGTGAGTTTATTAATGCACATAACTTATAATTGGAATTGATTAAAAGATCAGTGAAATTCTTAATGGACATAACTTATCAAGTGAATCGATTTAAAGATCAGAAAAATTGTTTGCAATATCAACGGTGAAAGAGCTCGTCTTTCTACACAGCTTGCCCAACGAATTTCTGTAACCAAGTGGTAAAGCCATAACATTACAAGCCAGAGTGGGGCAGACATGTGGTATTTAAACCACAATACATATAGCCTTCGTAGGAAAACGTTTTCAGGTATGCATTGTTGAGGCCAACCTACCATGGCCCGTGCAGCAACTGGCTTCAGCTGGAAGTCTTGTCGCTGGGCCTCCGTGTGTGGGTGGTGCTTGACAACCACTTTTTTCTCGGCGGGTATGTAGCCTTGCTTAAAAACTCTGACCATGTATGTGCCTGGAATCAGCAGCCGCCAGTATTCGCCGTTCTCGCCTGCAAAGCAAAATATTCTTTATGTTGACAGCTCTTCAAGCTTGCATATTTTATGTGCTACTATGTACCTGGATGTGTACAGATAATCTAAAAACCCTTGAAATTAGTTGATGCTTTAGTAATGATTGTGGTTTTCAGACGTTATACACCACATACGGTATTGAAATTAAAAGTACACTTTCAAGGCCTTTGGAAGCTTCAGGATTGTTGCTGTTTCTAGGGAAATTTCTTTAACTTTGCAAGCAAACTTTTGGTAAAGTAGGGTCGTTCTGGCAAACACACCCTCACATGAATTGAGCAAGTTGTGCAAAAACAAGAAAACCAATCGAAGTAAGACGCCGTGTTAATGCCTCTGCGGTGTTTGCGCTCTTATTCTAATGCCTTTTCTTGCCACTTTGTTTCTCTAATGTCCTGAACACTTGAGTATATGTCCTGCATTTGCGTTTCTCTTTCATATTCGCCTTGTCAAGTGGCTGCAGAAAAGTTGAAACACATGTGGCAGTGAACGACTGACGCTCAGTCATGCCCTAATTTTCATGTCAGACACTGTAACAGTATAAAAGACATTTCTAAAAAAACATGCGTGAAACTTCAATTCAGAAGACTGAAGATGAAAATTGGGTAATACTAGTTTTAGGTCTGCTTCGGTAGGAGGCTTAGTCATGTAATTTTGCTCATGTTTCCTACAGAAGTTCTAATAGATTGTGGTGCAGACAATCCTTATGGATACTTACACTGTAGTGAAATTGCCTAGATCAGAAGTCAGCGACATGCGCGCCGTATACGGCCTTTGGCACGAAGTTGAAAACTAACCCCCTTTCTCTGTCACTTCCTATCAGAAGCAACGTTTCGACAACAGATGCGGTTAGACAGGAAAAAAAAAAGAAACAAAATTTACATCCCAGGTTTTTACATCCTTGCAAGATCACCGATTTTTTCCTCTGCCTGCAAAGCATGCCCACACCAGGGGTGTATCCAGGGGGTGGCACACCCGGCAGGTGCTCCACCGAATTTTTTTTTCCATGGCATAGAGAACAAAAAATGGCCATTTTGAAGGCGTGCCACTTCTAAAATCAAATTGGTGCCCCCCTCTCCCCCCCTAAAAAAACTCTGGCTACAAGCCTCGCCCGCCCCCCTTTATCTTGCCGTGTCGGCGTCACGGATTTCGGCCTTCATCTTGAAAAGGTTACCGACCTTTGGCCTAGGTCGTTACAGCTCACAATATCACGAACAAAATATTTTATAGCCAGACGAGACGGTTGAAGCTAACGGCACTTCTACCTCAAAGGCGGTTTCACACAAGCTTGCTCTGATGTGTGTGCACTCCAGGTTAACGTGATGATCTAGGCAGCCGGTTGCCCCACCATCTGAGAACATTGCGAGTGCGTGCACGGGACAACTTTTTTTATGCCCATAGGCGATCAGCTATCGCGCTTTGGTCATCTGGGCGGGGTTTCTCCAGAATTTTCAATACAGGTTTATAGTGTCTAAAAATCCCGGACAGAGAAAGACGTGTCACACACAGGCACAACACAGCTCTCAATTGCCCTTTCCTCTTATATGTTAGCCTGTCTACGCAAAGATAGCTGAATTTGCAGAGTGCTTGTAAGTGTGGTGTTTGAAAAGAGATGTATGACCTACCAACTCGCCCGAAACGTTACGCCACAGCTTCTTAAGCTGTGCGCTATCAGTGCACGTCAAAGAACACCAGATGTCAAAACTTCCCGAGCACCCCCCCTCCTCTCCACGGTGTCCTTCATAATCATGTCATTTATGGTTTTGCGACGCAAGAACCTCGAATTACTTGTCTACGCACGCACTGCCTTAACCAGAGAGGGCATTCCTGTCAGCGTTTTTCTCTACCTGAATGGGTCTGGGTCACCAGAACCTTCCAGGGCGATTTTTATTATCTCTGAGCTAACCTGAATGTTTTTGGCTAGCAGATGCCAAAAAAGATATGATTATCGCTCGCCGCCATCTTTGTGAGGGCTAGATGGATTGCAATGCGGGTGCTTGAGGCTGCTTTACCACATTTCTCTCGCCAAGATTGGAAAAACTTGCACACACCTATGGGTACAGAGGGAAGTTTCAGTGGCTTCTGTGGCTCGCTAAATTCGAACTAAAATGTCAATATCCTTGAGTGCACAACAAAGCGCCACCACGTGACGGAAATCTTCCCATACTATGAATACTATAAATTTGTCATGAGTTTCTGGTAGAACGTTTCCACAGTGGTGAATAGACAGGAGTTCTGTGAAGCCATGCCAACAGCGATCCCCAGGTGTCAAGGCATTAGGGTTTCATGTGTGTTCATATTAAGCAAATGTGTATAGTAGTCAAGAGACCGACAGAATCCCATCTGGTCAGGGACAAACATGGTTCAAAATAGCAAAAACGCTGACCAAGGCAAAATACACAAAAATTAAAAAGACGTTTCGGCTCCCTGCACGGGAGCTTTGTTCACAATGAATGCAAACGGCGTAGTGCGCTGTTCTCAAGCACGTGTCATCACGAGTTGCAGGCATAGCGCGTACACAGGAGGGAGTGTCCCGATATTTCTGTTCAACATATGCGCAGTAGTATGAATGACTAAAGACTTTATGTGCAATCGCGGAAAAAAATTTATTATTGTGCCAATGATGCATGCTTTATCCCAGTCAATATCGTGCCCAGTAGACGCAACATGCTCTGCGAGGACATAAGAAGCCGCTTTCTTCTTCCGGTACTCGGCTGCTGACCTGCAGGTCGCGGGATCAAATCCTGGCTGCGGCGGCTGCGTTCCCGATGGAGGCGGAAACGTTGTAGGCCCGTGTGCTCAGATTTGGGTGCACGTTAAAGAACCCCAGGTGGTCTAAATTTCCGGAGCCCTCCACTACGGCGTTTCTCATAATCATATGGTGATTTTGGGACGTTAAACCCCACTTATCAATCAATCAATCAGTTTTCTTGTTCCTGACATCATTAAGATGTTCTCGCAGCCTTCTTTTGTAATTACCTGTTTCACAAATGTATACGTATTCACAGTCCTTGCAAAGATTTTAATGCACTACAGCAAAAAAATTGTGTCTCTCCAACTTATCATTGACATTTGTGAGAATGCCTCTGAGCTTTCGTGCCGAAATGTTACCCACTTGGACGCTGTCACAGTGTACATTGGAGGCATTAGTGACATTAACAATTCGAAACGGAGTCACAGATGTTATTCACTCTTTGTGTGTGTGAAGAACTTGATTGCTTTGCAGTATTCCTTTCATTTTCTCCTGCTGCGTAGCATTCAGCGTGCTCACGCCCCGCCGCGGTAGTCTAGTGGCTAAGGTACTTGGCTGCTGACCCGCAGGTCGCGGGATCGAATCCCGGCTGCGGTGGCTGCATTTCCGATGGAGGCGGAAATGTTGTAGGCCCGTGTGCTCAGGTTTGAGTGCACGTTAAAGAACCCCAGGTGGTCGAAATTTCCGGAGCCCTCCACTACGGCGTCTCTCATAATCATATGATGGTTTTGGGACGTTAAACCCCACATATCATCAATTCAGCGTGCTCACTGGTACGAAAGAAGAAAGTGCATGGTTGAAGCGTGCAACAAATCTATATTACTTCGTTCTTAATTTATCGAGAGATTAAAAAAGCGAACTTCGCGATGCACTAAGCTCTCTTGAAAAAACCTTTCAATGATTACTTCAAAAAAGCTGCTTTAGGACTATAGAATAGAGGCCCATGGTCCATCAGCTGAAACGAGTCGAAGATGGGTGATACTGGAGTTTATTTTATACAATGTGCATTGCATTCTGACACCGGCTCATGCCTCAAGTGAAAGCAGTAAGGCAAACGGCCCAATGCACATGTGGGACATGTAATAATGCACGATCGACGCAAGCTGGTATTGTCGAGATGCAATGATTTATTTCGTCTCATGTCCAGCAGTGATTGCTGCATGCTCTGCGCTAAAAGTCTGACCACCCGTCTCTTGAGCGCGTAGCTCTTCGACGCGGCGCCGCGCCCTCTTCCTATAGAAAGGGAGAGGTTGCGCAGCAACACAAAGCTGCGCAAAGGAGGGAGCGGCACCGCGGGAGAAAGTCACGCGCTGCAACGCATACTTGTGGTTAGGCCGTCGGCAAACTAGTTTGCCTACTTCACGGGACGCCATTATGAACCGGCTGTTTTGTTCACAGACGGCTTGCGTACATGATCGTATTCCCAAGTGTGTAGAAACTTCAGACTTCTATTTTGTAGACACGTAGCGCTACCTGTTGGTGCAGGTTTGGGTAGTGCGAAGCCCGACTCTTTTGCACAGTTGCTGCGCAACCAGGTGTAACTAGTACATGAGAAACAATGACTGAGTTAAATATTAGGTGTGGTTGCGCATTGAACACTCAGAAAAAAGCTATTAATTTCTCTCCCAGCCCCGAACCACGATTAGGTGCTTGCTGGATCGCTTGCCTGAATGACGGCGAAAACAAAAGCAGACGAAACAGCTCCGTGCACAGCGAAGAAAGACTTCAGTCGACGGTACTGTTGCGTTGTGAATTTACATGGACGCAAAGGACTTCATTTTTATCAATTTTCGTGGCTGTCGCGAAATAGTACGGCAGGAGCGCTAGATATGAGCCGTTGCGAATGTCTTGCGTTAATGAATTACTGATATTCTGCACAGCCAGTTACATGAGAAAGTGTAATAATGTAGGTCTGCTTTTATTGTTTTGAGTAAAGTCTTGACTGAGAATCGTGGTAACTGATTATCAAGCTCAAGAGAGTCTCTGACCGCGGTACGTGCCCTGCAACAGTAGACTGGTGCATCATGCTCTAAACATAACACACGCCGCGACCACTCATAATCTAAAGTAGTCGCCACCACACAGCATCGTGCACGCAGGCTTTGAAGTTACAGCTTAAAAAAAAATACTGGAAAAATTTGAAAAAAAAACCTGAAGAAAATGCGACTGTTTCGAAAGAGAGTTAATTTTCTGTACTTTTGAAGAGTTGGCTGTATCACTGGTGGATTGTCA